ATGAGGGTCGCTATTCATAATAGGAGAAGAAGGTTGCTATTCATAATAGGAGAAGAGGGTCGCTATTCATAATACGACATGAGGGTCGCTATTCATAATAGGAAAAGAGGGTCGCTATTCATAATAGGAGTGGGGTCGCTATTCATAATAGGAGAAGAGGGTCGCTATTCATAATAGGAGAAGAGGGTCGCTATTCATAATAGGAGAAGAGGGTCGCTATTCATAATAGGAGAAGAGGGTCGCTATTCATAATAGGAGAGGAGGGTTGCTATTCATAATAGGAGAAGAGGGTCGCTATTCATAATAGAAGAGGGTTGCTATTCATAATAGGAGAAGAGGGTCGCTATTCATAATACGACATGAGGGTCGCTATTCATAATAGGAGAAGAGGGTCGCTATTCGTAATAGGAGTGGGGTCGCTATTCATAATAGGAGAAGAGGGTCGCTATTCATAATAGGAGAAGAGGGTCGCTATTCATAATAGGAGAAGAGGGTCGCTATTCATAATAGGAGAAGAGGGTTGCTATTCATAATAGGAGAAGAGGGTCGCTATTCATAATACGACATGAGGGTCACTATTCATAATAGGAGAAGAGGGTCGCTATTCATAATAGGAGTAGAGGTTCGCTATTCATAATTCGAAATGAGGTTCGCTATTCATAATAGGAGTAGGGGGTCGCTATTCAAAAAGGAGAAGGGGGTCGCTATTCATAATACGAAATGAGGGTCGCTATTCATAATAGGAGAAGAGGGTCGCTATTCATAATAGGAGAAGAGGGTCGCTATTCATAATACGACATGAGGGTCGCTATTCATAATAGGAGAAGAGGGTTGCTATTCATAATAGGAGTGGGGGTCGCTATTCATAATAGTAGAAGAGGGTCGCTATTCATAATACGAAATAAGGGTCGCTATTCATAATAGGAGAAGAGGGTCGCTAATCATAATAGGAGTAGGGGGTCGTTATTCATAATAGGAGTAGAGGGTCGCTATACATAATAGGAAATGAGGGTCGCTATTCATAATAGGAGAAGAGGGTCGCTATTTATAATGCGACGAGAGGGTCGCTATTCATAATACCGAAAAAGTCAAAATGACATAAGCAATAAACTAAATGTTAATAAGAAAGCGACATACTGGAGAGAGGACACCCCATGGCTTCAGCGTAGGCTGGGGGTGGTAAATCCCCCCCCCCCAAAAAAAAAGGAGAGAAAAAGAGAGAGAAGGAAAAGAAGGGAAAGGTAAAGAGGAGAGAAAAGAAAGAAAGAAAGAAGAGGAAGAAGAAAAGAAATGGAGGAAAAGAAGGAAATCGGGGGGCCTTGCTTCCACCCCCTCCCCCATAAAAAGAGGAGAAAAAGGGGAAAGAAAAAAAGAGGAAGAAGAAAAGTAAAGAAAAGGGATATCAGTTGCGATTTTCCCGCCAACAAGGTTTGGATCGAAAGGCCCTTGCCTCCCCCCTCCCCTCAGCAAAAAAGAGAAAGGGAAAGAAAATAAAGAGGAAGAAGAAAAAACAAGGGGGAAAGGATACGTTTTTGCGCCCCTCTCACCCCCCCCCCCCGAAACGAGAACAAGCGCCAGATACGCCACTGGACACCACAGGCATACTCATTGGCGGATCCAGAGGGGCCAAAACGACCGCCCCCCCACCCCCCCCCCCCTATTGGCGGCGCAAAAAAAGAGGGAAAAAGAAGAGGAAAAAAAGGAGAAGCAAAAGAAAGGAGAAGAAAAAGAAAAGAGAAGAGAAGAGACAAGAAAGAAGAGAAAAGAAACACAGAGAGAGGGGAAAAGGAAAGCCCCCCCCCCCCTCCCTCCCACTCCGGGCTCGGAGGGACCGAATTCGTGTTCCCAAAATCTCCGGTAAAGGAGTACTTTTCACGCAACAAAGTCCGGCCCGTAATACACACAAATCTGGCCCGTACTGACTTTACACACCGGAGATAGAGGGGTGCTTTCAAAGAGAGGGAAATGCGTACGCGTACCCTAGATAACACTGAGTGGGGGGGGGGGGGGGAGTCGGGTGAAAAAGGTGGAAAGACAGGAAATGGCGCTTAAAGTGACAGTAACTTTCGAGCCACGGAATCAAAGTTAAACGTTAAAACAGCCCCTGCGATGCAAAGTCAATTTTGTAATTAACGGTAGGGGGGCCGCTTCTCAACTCTTATTTCTACTAACATTATTGTGTGCTATCACAATCATGATTGTTTCATTTTCCCTTTAAAGCAGGCGCGTAGCCAGAGTCGAGAATGGAACAACGAATCGTCTTCTTTCTCTTATAATTTCATTAAACTATGAAAGGTCAAAGCTTCCGCGCTTCGCGCGGGAGGGGGTGGGGGAACTCAAATCAAACAAAGAAAAAGGGTCGAGAATGGTACAACGAATCGTCTTCTTTCTCTAATAATTTCATTAAACTATGAAAGGTCAAAGCTTACCCGCTTTGCGCAAGAGGGGATGGGGGTGGGAACTGAATTCAGACAAAGATTAATAATCAAGAATGGTACAACAAATCCTCTTCTTTCTCTAATAATTTAATGAAACATCAAAGCTTCCACGTTTTGCGCGGGAGGGGGGGGGGGGAAACTGAATTCAGACAAGGATTAAGAGTCGAGAATGGAACAACGAATCATCTTCTTTCTCTAATAAGTAATGAAAGGTCACTCTTCTCCTATTATGAATAGCGACCCTCATTTCGTATTATGAATAGCGACCCTCTTCTCCTATTATGAATAGCGACCCTCTTCTCCTATTATGAATAGCGACCCTCATTTCTTATTATGAATAGCGACCCTCATTTTGTATTATGAATAGCAACCCTCTACTCCTATTATGAATAGCGACCCTCTTCTCCTATTATGAATAGCAACCCTCATTTCGTATTATGAATAGCGACCCTCTTCTCCTATTATGAATAGCGACCCTCTTCTCCTATTATGAATAGCGACCCTCATTTCTTATTATGAATAGCGACCCTCATTTTGTATTATGAATAGCAACCCTCTACTCCTATTATGAATAGCGGCCCTCTTCTCCTATTATGAATAGCGACCCTCTTCTCCTATTATGATTAGCGAAACTCATTTCGTATTATGAATAGCGACCCTCATTTCGTATCATGAATAGCGACCCTCTTCTCCTATTATGAATAGCGAACCTCATTTCGTATTATGAATAGCGACCCCTTACTCCTATGAATAGCGACCCTCTTCTCCTATTATGAATAACGACCCTCTTCTCCTATTATGAATAGCGACCCTCATTTCTTATTATGAATAGCGACCCTCATTTCGTATTATGAATAGCAACCCTCTACTCCTATTATGAATAGCGACCCTCTTCTCCTATTATGAATAGCGACCCTCTTCTCCTATTATGAATAGCGACCCTCTTCTCCTATTATGAATAGCAACCCTCATTTCGTATTATGAATAGCGACCCTCTTCTCCTATTATGAATAGCGACCCTCTTCTCCTATTATGAATAGCGACCCTCATTTCGTATTATGAATAGCGACCCTCTTCTCCTATTATGATTAGCGAACCTCATTTCGTATTATGAATAGCGACCCTCTTCTCCTATTATGAATAGCGACCCTCTATTCCTATTATGAATAGTGACCCTCATTTCGTATTATGAATAGCGACCCTCTTCTCCTATTATGAATAGCGACCCTCATTTCGTATTATGAATAGCGACCCTCTTCCCGTGTTATGAATAGCGACCCTTATAAGTAATGAACCTTATTTCGTATTATGAATAGCGACCCTCTTCTCCTATTATGAATAGCGACCCTCTTCTCCTATTATGAATAGCGACCCTCTTCTCCTATTATGAATAGCGACCCTCATTTCGTATTATGAATAGCGACCCTCTTCTCCTATTATGATTAGCGAACCTCATTTCGTATTATGAATAGCGACCCTCTTCTCCTATTATGAATAGCGACCCTCTTCTCCTATTATGAATAGCGACCCTCATTTCTTATTATGAATAGCGACCCTCATTTCGTATTATGAATAGCAACCCTCTACTCCTATTATGAATAGCGACCCTCTTCTCCTATTATGAATAGCGACCCTCTTCTCCTATTATGAATAGCGACCCTCTTCTCCTATTATGAATAGCGACCCTCATTTCGTATTATGAATAGCGACCCTCTTCTCCTATTATGAATAGCGACCCTCTTCTCCTATTATGAATAGCGACCCTCATTTCGTATTATGAATAGCGACCCTCTTCTATTATGATTAGCGAACCTCATTTCGTATTATGAATAGCGACCCTCTTCTCCTATTATGAATAGCGACCCTCTATTCCTATTATGAATAGCGACCCTCATTTCGTATTATGAATAGCGACCCTCTTCTCCTATTATGAATAGCGACCCTCATTTCGTATTATGAATAGCGACCCTCTTCGCGTGTTATGAATAGCGACCCTTATAAGTAATGAACCTTATTTCGTATTATGAATAGCGACCCTCTCGTCGTATTATGAATAGCGACCCTGATTTCATATTATGAATAGCGGTCCTTATGATTAATGACCCTTAATATGAATTATGAATAGCGACCCTCATCCCACGTTATGAATAGCGGTCCTTATGATTAACGAACCTTATTTCTTTATGAATAGCGACCCTCTTTTACCATTATGAATAGCGGACCAGGAAGTACGGGAATTTGCACGTTATGAATAGCGGTCCTTATGAATAGCAGACCTTATGAATAGCGGTCCTTATGAATAGCGAATAGACCCCGTGACACTACACTGCTAGGTAAGGCAACCCACCCACTTTAGCTATGCATCACCTGTTGGAGCTATGTAGAGTGCGGTGGAGCCTAACTACCCAATGCATTCAACCCAATTCTTTTAATCTACATAACAAAGAAGTGGGTAGCATTGAGGGGAAAGGTTGAATCCTAATAAAGATGAATACGTACAAAGATTTGACATTATGTCTTATACAAAGTCATGTTGCCCGTCTCCAGAATTAACTCTGCGACATTGTTTTTCTTTTCTTTAATAACACAGTATCCTGATGTCATCATGCCTGTGTCTCTTGGTGAATGGCGTGTCAGGATCGGCACGTTCATGCGCCGTCGTAGGAAAGAATATGACTACCACTACTTTTGGAGGAAACTTCACAACTTAATTAAAAGAAACAAGAATGCTGAGCAACCAAGAGAAGACAACAATCCTGAGTGTAACATTTCATCTCGCACTGGCTCTTCATCAGATGCGAAACGATCTCCAAGCAACACTGCCCGTCAGTCTGCGTCTTCTTGCAATGCCAACCTTAACATCAATCAAACAGGGCCCTCATGTGATGTCAACAATGACAGAGGTAACGCCAATTCTCCGACTCTCTCACAATTTGACGTTCCAGAGTGTAATACGAAGTGTGGATCCCCATGCGATTCAAACAACCCCGGTCATAACGATGTCTCTCACTCTGAGTATCCGTCTGCTGAAAACAGTGGTTCTTCAATTGAGAAAAAGACCAACCCTGTCCTGGATACCACTGAAGTGAAAATTCCAGTTCTCCAACCCTGTGTAGAAGACGAACTGGACAATAGAAACATATCCATTAGTCTGATGTCGTATGAATACACCCCTAAATCCGATCAAATAAGTAAAAAAGACAAACCTAAAGTTGGCACATCAGAGTCGTACTCAGACGTTCCTGGGGAGATAGGTCGGATCAAACTAGATGAGGAGGAAACATCAGACTCTAGACCGTCGGGGAAAGAGGACCAAACAACGGACCTATCACCTAAACCCAGGATACATACAACGAGAAACACCGACCAAAGAACATCATCTATCAGGGTATGGTTAATATGCCTTTCCTAGAACTACACCACTCACATACAAAAACAACAAAGAAAGAAAGAAAAAAACAGTAAGGAAAACAGGCGAACGATAAATCAAAATAAAACTCTTTGTAAACGGGATTTTTAATAAGACATGTGGCTAGCAAATTGGAACTATATAAGATGTAATCTAGAGGACAGTTTGATTATTCAAATTTAGTGTGGAAATGGTAGGTGTCACGTTTATTACACTGTAATCAATAGAAAAGGTGACCTCATTTACCCATTCACACAATTTCTTTTCTTCCGTGATTCTACATGTAATTAGGCAAATGATGTCTGACTATTCTTTTGAAAACTGTCTTCTGTCCATAATTTTCAGTAAAGAAGTAACGGAATATGATCATGAATCATCTTGTCCAATGGCTACATGAAACCCTTCTATAACTTGTCTCTGCTATTTGTTGTGTTAGAAATTTTGAAATAAACTAGAAACCATTGATAAAAATCGCCCGCCAGGAATACAATGTGTCACAAAGATATTATCTCAGTATGACTCGTACATGTAGTTTACAGAGTTAAAAGTGTGTTCTCTATTCGTAATTTTCTCTTCGTTCTTAGGAAGTAACGGAGAATCACGGATCACCGACCTATCCGATCCCCCTGTCAGGGACATCCATCGGTGAAGCAGATGCAATCAAAGGGAATGACTGTCCAGACATGGCCACCATACTCCTATTGAGATCCGGTGACGTAGAACGAAACCCTGGTCCAAATAATAAGTAAGCAGCATGAAAGAGCAACTTATGAAAATTAAAATCCATCAGTCCGAATTCTACTAAACCCAACTCTGGATCTGAAATCATGTTTGCCGAACGATAGTTCAATTAGACCTCACACTATTTTCCTTTTATTAAACTCGATTCTGAACAAAGCTTGAGCCTAGCGTCGTATTTAAATTTGCGTAAAATTCAGGCCTCTGACTTTGCTGGTAAATATTTATCGTTGAAATTGATGAATGAAATTAAAATATGTAGAAGTTTTGCATATCCAATTATGTTTAATAGCACCACATATCTTTGCATATTTTGCAGTGTTGTTGGAGTGCTTTTATAATAGGTAATGTTGATAAATATCATTAAACAGTAAAACGGTGTATTCGCAAGTCAAAGGATAATGAAAGGAAAGTCCTGTTGATACAAAATATTGCAAATATCAATAAACACTATATGAAATGAATACTTCTTCTTTTGTCAATAATTTAGCCCTGGAAGTCTGGGCGAGCTCGAGCTCTATCTCCTTGCCGACGGTATAGATCCCTCAGATTTCAGGAAGGTCGGACTAGCTTTAGGATTCCCTGAGGCTAAACTAAGTCAGTTTGAGAAAGACAAGCTGGGCAACTCCATGCAAGCTACCTATCAGATGCTTTACGAATGGCGGAAGACAGTACCTGAAAGCGAGGCGAGGGAGATACTAGTCAACAAGTTAGAAAGCATTAAGCTAGTTCAACTTGCTGATAGTGTACGGAAAGGTACAGTATAACACACTAAATATGCACACACACACCCTCCCTACCAAACACACATGAAGCCTATATTTGCAGTATCTTACAAAAGTGAGCACACCCCAACAATAAAGTTGAATATCAAACTGTAACTTATAACAAGGCTCTATTTTAAAATGAAAAACCATATTTTCTTTAAAAAAAAAAAAGATTTAGAATTACATGTGATAAATTTATAGGTAAAATTACGTATTGGATTAAAACAGTGCAGCAATATAATATGTAGCCTTTAATCACGGCGGCTTTGGTGCAATGGCCCGTCGATCTCATGGTCGATCCTCGAAACGCTTGGAAAGTCCTCTGATTGCACGGAACACAATCGTCTATCGTATCCAAAATCTGGACGGTATTATTTTTTCGCAATCGCGATCTCTCCCATCCCTTACCTGTTGCAAGCCGGTGATGGCGTTATCCACAAATCCGTATGTGTCGATGGTTCGCCGGGCGCGCTTTTTCCGTACCATTAAAGGTATTACAAAGTTTGGTAAATTAAAAAAATCGGCTGGATAGTGATTCTTTACAATTTTCTTATATTTGGATGCCCCTGTGGATGTATTATAACCTTGCGGGGCAAGGACAAACCAAATTGACGACGTAATTTGCGACCAAACCAGCCAGACGTGAATATCGTGGTGAATTTTATCGCCAATTTTCCACGATGAAATTGACGATATCGTGAATTTCGTCGCCAATTTCGTCGTGAATAATTCGCGATTTCGTCTATTCGCGATGTCCCTTCACGGCCACCATACGTTCTACCATTGACCTAAGTAACTCTCTCCTGGAAGACTTATTTCAAGGCACAACGCCAACCCATATATTATTCAACGTGAGAGCCCCTATGTAGGACACAAAAATGGTTTTCAGCCCCTGATCCGCACAAAAATATAAATTGAGATTTGGGAATCTATGTATTCTGATGATACGGTACTGTGCTTCATCATTTTTTCTCGTGATTGCTGCTGCTGCTACTTTTGCTGTTGTCTGATATTAAAACACCGGTCATAATTTTCGAGTCATTTTAAAGACAACGTTCTTCACCATCTCATCACAGGTCAGGTTGGTGATCACATACCGTCCATGACAGAGGAGGAAATCCAACGGGTGGCTGAAGAGGTCAAACACTATTTGGCTATTCATATCTGTCAGATTCAAGTCGATCCACTGAACAATGAAGTTGTACTTGAATTTAAACGTATCTTCACCAATCTAACGTTGATGAAAGAAGACAAAGGTTCAAAACTCAATACACCGCTTCTCTATGACGACCTCCTCAGGACCAAAGTCAACGGAATCTATCCTAAACGCTTGTTGGTAGAAGGTGAAGGTGGTGTAGGGAAGACCACTTTTTGCGCAAAGATCGCTTGGGATTGGATCCACGGAATAGGCTACCAAGATTTCAAACTGGTTCTTGTCATCCTACTTCGCGAGGCAGGGGCCAAAACGGTTGGAGAGATAGTGAAGTCATACCTTTCTGACAACAATCCCGTCACAGCCAAACAGCTAGACAAGCACATCCTCTCAAATTCGGATGATGTCTTTCTTGTCCTGGACGGTCTAGATGAATTTGCTGTCGATCTTGACAGCAATCAACAAATCGCCCTGATCACTCTCTATCGTCTGTTCAAGTCAGGGACAGTACTAATCACATCGCGACAATGGAGATCAGATGAGATTAGGAAGAATGACTATCTTAGAAGGGAGTTTGCTTTCATTGCTGTAGAAGGTTTCTCTGCTGAAAACCTCTCTTCTTACATCACCAAGTTCTTTCATCCAGACACAGCTTCCTCTGAAAATCTGTGCCAATTCATATCAAATAACGATGTGATCGGAGAGAACATGGCTCCCTACCCCATATACACAGCCATGCTGTGCATTATGTGGAAAGAGTTTGATGGAGAGCGCCGAGAGGCAATGTCCATGCTGCAAACATTTTCCCAGCTCTTCAATCAAATGATTGAATTTTTGGTTGATCATTACCTATCGAAACACATTCCATCTTCAGGTATTGATGAAGGCAAATTAAGGGAGAATCGCTCAGATATTCGTGATCACCTGCTTCAGATTGGCCGCATTGCCTTCCAGGGACTTCTGTTGAGACAGTTAGTATTCACAGAAGAAGAGTTTCAACGCTGTCCAGAGTCTATAGATGTAGGTTGCAAAGTTGGTGTACTCACCAGAGAGAAGAAAGTTCTTCCGAGGCGAGAAAGAAGAAATGATCGGAATTTAGCAGTCCAATCGGTGCAGTTCCCTCATAAGCTCTTCCAGGAATATCTATCAGGAATGTATCTTGCATATCTTTACAACTCAAACCGTAATAAGTATGACAGGTTGATAGCGAATATCATACCGGAAGCAGATGAGTACCGGTACCTACTCTACATCACATCGGCCCAGCAGAAGGGGGTCGGCTTGGATATCGTATCTCGTCTCATAGCTGCGTCACAAACAAACAACCCATATGATGATGACTTCATCGTAGATGTAGCATACGAGAGCCAAGACCAAGCAGTGGCCAAAGTAGTTGCGGATCATCTATCGACTACCGTAACGTCCAGGAAGTGTGCGTCCAGGAAGACACTGGAGATCACTAAGAAGATGCAGGCACACACAGTATCAGGGCATATCTTCATAATGAATCAACGTGAAGTGGTAAGGAAAGTAACGTCGAATTATAGCAGCATATCAATTTCATCTCTTTGAGTGATAAAGTTTTTTATTTGATTTGATTTCATTCTCTCAGACTTCGAATTACGTTGTTTGTTTTCGAACACATATACCTGTATAGTGTATACAGTGCGATGCTTTGAACCACGACATGCGATAATAAGGAAATGCACCCTGTACAAACTCCTCTTTACCCAAATGTTAAAAAGAAGCTGGATACAATACATTTTATTTAATCACGGAGCATGTTTAAAACCACTGCTATGGAACTAGCCATGTATTACAACTCAGATCATCATTTTTAATTCGAAAACTGCAATGTACACGAAAAGACTTTACTATTATTTCATCCAAGAGTTTACGAGTATCAGAATTTTAATATGTTAAAAGGAGTTTTGATTTATTGGCATTGCAGTACGACCCGTCTTGAATATATTCGTGATGAAACCTTGTTTGATAATATAACACTTTACATATTACGAATCCCAATAGGATTTGCGCGTACATACTGTTCAAACCAGTGTGATAAAGACACACTGAAAGAAAATGGCAAAAACATATGAAAAAGCAGTGTCAATTAAGATGATTAATCAGAATCATCTGGTATCATTTCCATGGGTTAATGTTTCTAGCCTTACAATGTTATATGTGTACATGTACATTGTAGGATCACCTGAGTATAGAGAAGCCATGTGGACGGACGGCTTCAGAGGACCAGGCTGAATTCATCTGCTCATCACGATCACCGAAATCTGTGACGATCGCTAGTACTATGCATGATATATTCTACTCGGTGCTTGCGAATAAAGCAGGCGATTCCAAGGTCAGTATACAGCTGTGTATTATCCACGATGTCGTATATTTGGTACATCATTCTTTTAAAAGAAATGGATGCTATATTCAGTCAGGATAATAGTTTTCCTGGTGTCATAACTAACTTTTTGGTGAATGGAAAAAGGAAGAAGAAAACAAGATATCAATGCTCGGAATGGTTGTTTTCTCGTCGATCAGCAAATATAGGAGAGCCAGAGGGATTACAGAATATTATTGACCGGAAAAAGATCCTCTTGCCCTCAGACAATCCATGATCATCAGCCCCTATATTACAATGTCGTTGTGCAGTAATGTACGATACCACAAACAAGGTTTTCAGGCTCTCCCCGTAGATGTCACCTGTTTATCTTCAGCGGTTATGACCGTTTAGCCTGTAGATCGTGAGGCAACCGAATCAGGCATATATGCCCCCTTCTCCCACAGTCAGCCGGCCATATTATGTAGATCACGATGTCTCATCCGTTGAACGTCAATGACTATCATTATTAAAACCGTGGCATCACATCATACCATTAAAGCTTATCTACTAATGAATAATTGAACCTGTCTACAACATTGCTTTAATGTACGATGACATAATCAGGGTTTTCAAGTTCTCCAGATTGATGCCATACAGCACCCATGCATTTATCTTCAACAGTAATGTGTTTGGGTATTGGTTTGAGTTAAGCCTTTAAGATCATACCCACTGCTCGCATAGTCAAGAGGTCAATACACGTTGTCTCATTTGTAACATTTTTGTCTCATCATATTTATTAAGCTATTCTCCGTACGCCCCCCCCCCCTGCTGAATAGTCGAATCATAGTCCTGATTCGACCACTCAAAACCTATATTTTCACCTCGCTCTGTCATAACATATCAGTAATGTATAACCACCATCCTACTTCTCCACATACCAGGGGCGGCGATCCCGGGAGGTGGGGTGGGGGGGGGGGGGAGGCACGTTCCCCCTCAATTTATTTAGGGGGGATCATCCCGCCGGGGAGACCTAAGGCGGGCCCCTGTATGCTCAGCTGACCGTTATTAAGTGCTTAAAACCCCTGAGCTTCCGGGGGCTCTGCCCCCTGGACCCCACCAAGGGCCCGAAGGCGGCCCCTGGATGCTCATCTGATCGTAATTTAATGCCTTAAACCCCAGAGCTTCTGGGGGCTCCGCACCCTGGACCCCACTCCAATTAGTGACCTGCATGCCAGTGTCACAAATAAGGTATCAAAATATGCACATCTGACCGCAATTGAATGCCTAAAACCCCTGAGCTTCATTGGGTTCCGCCCCTTGACCCCCGCCGGGTCTTTGCCCCTGTACCCCCACGTCAATTTACGCTCCACTTGCTTCACTCGCTTTGCTCTACCTGATCGTAAATACTTTAGCCCCCCCCCCCCCTCCCCAGTTTAAAAATGTCCCGCGGGGCCTGCATGTAACACGTAAGAGTGGTGGTGATGCGGATTTTTTTCTTCTGACCCACCCCTCCCCCAAAACGTGTTTGCTCATTACGCCACTGCTCCCTCGTTCCTTACCACCCCCCCCCCCCCCCGATCATGAAAAGAAATCGCCGCCCCTGCCACATACAGTTATTCTACCACCCTTCCCCCACCCTCATCCTGTAGTAGTAGTTCTAGTAGAAGTAGTAGTAGTAGTAGTAGTAGTAAAAACAAGTTATGGTCATGCGATTGCATTGTGAAAGAAACGTTGTGGAATCGATCAGAAAAGGTTATATAAGTATTGGTGTGTACTGCAAGGTTCTGGAATCATCAAAATGATAAGAAATTTGGCCCAGTCTTTTTAAAGTTACAAGCACTGTACACACAAAGATGTATATGGGACTATACGCACACGTGCGCGACACGTGCGTTTATCTCTCACAGACCATGTAGATAAACTAATTTACCAAATATATAAATTAGTAGGCGGTTTCCCGGCAAATTTTTTATCATCATGTATTAGTCAAAACATATTCTTTCACATGATTGGTAATAAGAGCTTCCATTTCATTTTTTGAAATTGGGGCGTTTCCAATACTGGTCTTTACCTTTAACAATGAGATACGGTGGATTGCCCACATTCAGCTTACCCGACATGGGAAAGCTGGTCTTCCGTGGGGTCCTGTTTATAGTCAAGTCAATGTATTGATTCTTCTCTCAAAACCCGAGAAACAAAATCTTTCCCCTGACATTTTACTAAATGTACATCTTTACGTAACATACATTTAAAACAAAAATTATGTACATCTAACAACCTATTATAACCAGACTCAAAAGATTACAGTTATATGTCCGAGAACACACCTCCTTTCTCACAATATATTAGTTTCCACTATGTAATGTCGTCGATAACATATTCATCATAAGAATCCAGGAACTATTGAAACTAGAGGTCATTTCATATGTCAAGACTTGCACATCATTACAATATAAATGTGGTTTTTTAAAGAAAAATTGGGGGGATACTTTTTTTTCATTGTCAGCAACGATATTAGTGCAATTTAAACCATATTGTTGCATCTTGAATATAGTTTTGGTAGATTGGAATTGCTCATTCAACATAATTTTACTTTCATAACAGATTGAGACTCTTAACATCTATTCTTTGGATCTCAGTAAACGTCCCTCTGCATCACGTGATCTCGCTCAGTTCATCTGTAAGATGCCTCATTTGGAGCGCCTGTCACACGGTAAACAAGGCTGCAGTGAATACAGGCTCAATGTCTTGCTACACGATGACTTCTACTCAACATCTTCGTCGATAGCGTCATCTACAAAGGTATCGATTTGATACTTTTTTAGGACTTTAAAGCAAATCACTACGCGTTTTGTTGTACTGGAGGTGTACCGGTACTCATTTTTATAGTCAAACGCAAGTGGACGATTTTACTCTCCAAATTAGTACACCGTTAAGAATAAGGTAGGAAACATTAATCGTTTTAGGAAGTTGAAGCGAAATTACCAGCCATCTGTCATAAACATGATGAAACGAAAACTGAGCGAAGGTTATCAGATTGACAGTGAATAATATGTTTCATTCAAATATGTTGATTCGGAGTACTACGGAAGTACTGATGGAGAGACGGAAATTTTGACTGAATAGAAGAAAAAATACTACACAAAGGAAAAGTTAAATATCTTCTTCCACGTATATCCTTTTGGAAACTGCAGAGTGTTCCATGCAATTTGTTTTCACACATCTCTGTTATGTTATATTAGTTGTTCAAAGAACTATTTCAATGAATCAAATGTCAGAATAAAGTATTGCTTTTGTAAATGAATGAGGATGGGAACTGTTTTTTTAAAAAACAGTTTGTAGTGTAATGTCAGCAATTGTATATCCAACATACTATGCTTGCGACCGTTTGGCTTCTTGTTTTATTCGGTTTGTTCTTAATACTTTAAGCCACGAACCGCCTGGTTAATGCATATATACCCACTTCCCCACAACTGAAGTTCAACAACTATCATAGCTCTAGATCGTTCGCAAATTTGTTGAATCATAGTCCTGAATCGGGCGCTCAAAACCTATATTTTCACCCGTGCTCTGTCATAAAATATCAGTAATGTATAACTACTACTACATCAGTCTCCAAAATATCCAGGAACTATTGAAATTAGGGATCATTTCAGATGTCAAGACTTGTAAATCAATGCAATATAAATGTGGATCTTTGGGGCGATACCCTTTTCCATTGTTAGCAACGTAATTAGTGCAATTTACATCATATTGTTGAATCTTGAATATATAGTTTTAGTATATTGTTTGTAGTTATTCATTCAACATAATGTTACTTTCATAACAGATTGAGACTCTTGACATCAAGTCTTTGGATCTCAGTGAACGTCCCTCTGCATCACGTGATCTCGCTCAGTTCATCTGTAAGATGCCTCATTTGAAGTACCTCTTTCTCGGTAAGGAAGACAACCCTGACTGCGGACCCAAGGTCTGTCTACACGATGACTTCTACTCTACATCTTCGTCGATAGCGTCATCTGCAAAGGTATCGATTTGATCATATATTTTAAGACTTTTAGCAAATCACTACATTTTGTTATACTTGAAGTGTACCCCTATCTTTCACACCTTTAAGAGGAAGCAGGTAGGAAAGTTAAACGTTTCATGAAGTGGATGCAACCAGTGAATTTTCGGTCAAAATACAATTTTTTTTGTATTACATATGAAAATTTGGAGTGGTACGGAAATGCTGATGAAACTAAACATTTTGATTCAAAAACCTACCAAAAACGAAAATTCGAGTCTCTTTGTCCCTGATTAAAATATTTGTGTATCCCTTTGGAAACTGCAAAGAATTTCATGTATATCTGTTTAAACACTTTTATGTTGTGTTCAATTAGATATTCAAAATTATATTTTAATCACATGTCACAATAACATATTGCTTTTTATAAATGAATGGGGATGGCGACTTTTCCATAATGTCATGTTTAAACATATTTTAAAGTAGTATAATGTCGGCAAGTTTGTTATTCAACATAATGTTTCTATTATGACAAATTAATACATGGCGTTAGGTATTGGACCAAAAAAGGAAAAAGTGACATCGATTTTATCTTTGAACATGCTTAATCTTGTTCTTCGAATATCGACAAAAACTTTGAGGACGTATCAACTTGATATATTATTTATTTATCATTAGGTCTTGATTCAGACTACGCCGGGTGCATATTGCCCACCCTCCAACTTCCCGCACCCATAAGAATGCATATTTACGCCGCTTGTCAGATAATAATAATAAATAATAATACAGACATTTATAACGCGCAACATATCCACCCAGAGGGTGCTCAAGGCGCTTACAATGAGCTACATAATATACTTAGATACAATTTTGCTTACATTACATTACACATGGTTATAACAAAAAGAAGAAGTTAAAGTTGGCCATTAGATAAGTTTTCAGGCTGGCCTTGAAACTATCTACTGATTTACATTCCTTAAGTGTGTAAGGGAGACTGTTCCACAATCGGGGAGCTGCTGAGGCAAATGCTCGATCTCCCCATGATCGTCTGGTCTTAGGGATGATCAGAGTTGATGTATTGGCAGAACGCAGACCAGAACGACCAGGCTTGCGAAAGTTGAGTAGAGAAGAGATGTACTGTGGCGAGGAGAACTTCAAGGCACGGTATGTGATCAGAAGGATTTTTTAGGTGAGACGATGGACGATGGAAGCCAATGCAGGGATTTAAGGACTGGAGTGATGTGGGTGAACTTGCGTGTATATGTCATTAGACGGGCAGCAACATTCTGAACAAGCTGGAGCCTCTTAACTTGAGACATAGGGATGCCATAGAGTAAAGAGTTACAACAATCGATGCGGGATGTAACAAATGCATGCACAAGCTGCTCAGCCGCCTTTGTGGTGAGATACTTGCGAATAGCACGAAGATTGCGGAGACTGTGGATCGCAAGTTTAACACTTGATGATACTTGCGAATCCATGGTCATATTGGAGTCAAAAATAACTCCAAGATTTCGAACTTTCTTCACTGGAGTAATTGATGACGAACCAATATTCAGATTGGGGGTTACCGACTTGGCGAGTTGGTGCTTGGAACCCAGCATAACAAACTGAGATTTGTCGTCATTGAGCTTCAAGTAATTCTCCTTCATCCAATTCCTAATGTCACTTATACAGGCTTCAACACGAGCAATCCAGGCATCAACTTCCTCTTGTGTGGGAGAACACGAAAAGTATATCTGCGTGTCATCAGCATACATATGGTGCTTGAGATTATGCCTCTTGATGATATCATGAAGGGGAAAAGTGTAAATGTTGAAGAGTTGTGGCCCAAGTATCGATCCCTGGGGCACAGAGAAGCCAAGATGAACTGTCTACGAGACAGCACTGCGTACACAAACCCTCTGCGATCTGTTTGAGAGATAAGATGTTAACCACTGGTGAGCCTGTCCACCAATGCCCATAGACTGAAGTCTCTCTAGGAGTATAACATGGTCAACCGTGTCAAATGCACTACTCAGATCGAGCAGAATTAGCCCAGTTACTTTTCCACTATCCATTTCGGTGAGGATATCATTTTGCACTCTTAAGAGGGCAGTCTCAACACTGTGTTTTTCTCTGTAGGCTGATTGGAAGTTGTCTTGAAGGTTATTGTCATTCAAGAAGGACTGAAGACGAGCGGATACTATGCGTTCGATAACATTCGATAGGAAGCTTAGATTTGTCACAGGTCGATAACTTGCAAAGTCTTGCCTGTCAAGATTCGTTTTTTTTTTCAAGAGAGGCTTCACGAGAGCCTGTTGCATTGAGGCTGGAAAGCTTGCACATCGAAGAGACTTATTAAAAAAGTCTGTAATATATGGTGCAAAGTCATCAATGCATTCTTTTAGAAGAGCAGTAGGAATTGGATCTAACTCACATGATGATGTTGGAGAATTCATGACAACCCTCTTGATCTCACTAATAGAAGTTTTAACGAAATCAGTCAAAACTGGAACAGATGATAACTCACAATGCTGTACACACTGTCCTGACGAAAGCTCGGCATCAATGTCATCACGGATCTTGGTGACCTTGTTGAAGAAATAATGACAAAAGTTGTCAGCCAGTATCTGGTCAGAAGAAGCATCCGGAAGAACAGTTTCCTTCTTTCGGTGCAGCAGAGCGTCTACAACAGTGAAGAGACGTCTTTGGTTTCCTTCGCATTCTGCAACACACTCTGAATAGTATTCAGTTTTTTGCCTTTTCAATTTCTTAGGAAACAACCTGACGCTGTGTCACATATGATTTGCAGTCTTCTTTACTTCTAGTACTCCTCCACTTGCGCTCAAGGCGTCTTCTAAGGCACTTAGCAGCATGGATTTTCTCAGTCATCCATGGACGCGAAGGTTTGGTGATAACACTTCTAGTCTTTTTAGGTGCTAGCTTATCAAGTAGACTAGTGAGAGAGAGATCGATCATATCTTTCGACAGACGAAGAGATGCTGATATCCTCAATGTCAATTTCTGACAAAGATTCATGGACTCCAGATCGGAATTGTTCTCTGTTCATTGATCGTAGAGGGCGAGTTGTGACAGTCCTGCGAGAAGGGGACTTTCTTAAATCAAGGTTACACTGGACAGCGTGGTGATCAGATACTCCTAGGATAACAGATACATCAGAAACAAGAGTGGCTGAATCCCGAGTAATAAGCAAATCAAGTGTATGGCCATGTAGATGAGTCCCTTCTCGTACAAGCTGCTTCATTCCGTAGGATGAAAGTATGTTCATAAACTGCCTTGCCCGTACGTCATTGAAATCGTCGACCCATACATTGAAGTCCCCTGTCAGGACAACTTCGGAGGGATCACGAACAAATGAGTCAAGTAGGGTAGCTAACTCTTCAAGGAACAGACTATAAGGTATTCGCTGCCCTTGCTCTTCCACTATATCTGGGCGATAAATGACAAGGAGAATAAGTGAACGGGATTGGCATGAAACTCGAGCTTGATAAGCTTCAAATGACTTGAAATGTTGTACAGCTTCTGACTTGACCGACAGTGAAGATTTGAACAACAGTCCGACACCACCTCCTCCTCTTCCTTGTCGATCCTTATGATTACAAGTATATCCCTCAGGTATACAGTTTCCCAAAATAACATCATCGTCATCCTTCAATCATGTCTCGGTCAACGAGAGGATGTCAAAATCATTATCAAGTACAAATTCAACGATATCGGTAGTCTTATTCCTTACTGATCTAGCGTTCAATGTACACATCTTTGCCGAGAGTTTAGTAGGTACTACTGATATTAATTTTCTAAATTCAGAACCACGACATGAAGAATGATGTACACGATGTCCACGATGAGTTGGCTTCACTGAACATATGCCATAGTCCTGTAATATGTGATAGGTATTCAGTGGTATCCTGAGATCAGCACACTCGGGTTGAAAAGACAAAAGATCTTCTCTGGTGTAGGTGATTGTAGGCATTGTCACAATAGAAGCTAATAGGATCAAGAGACTCACAACAATAGTCACCATGCCGATGCTCGCCATGGCTGTCTATTCGTGTTCTAGTCTAACAATAGTAGAGAACATAATAGTCATGGACATGAATACTATGTGCATAAAGCACTGTAATGGTTGACCATGGGCTCATACAGGAACATGAAGAAAACATAAATAAAAACTGTAGGTGTTCCAAACATCTCAATCCATCACAAAAATGATCTAGCTGGATCGTGAAGTGATACTTAAAAGACTGCTGATGAATTCAGAACACTATTCCTAAAACTATCAATAAAAATTCAACAAAATCACAGAGCTCAACAACAGTGCAACCTCCTGGCGCAACCGTAAAAGGAGCAAATCAGCACCCTCTACCAAATACGCGTAGGTGGGTGAAAATCTGCACCCTTATTTCTTAGTGTGTTATAGTCCAGCCCAAGGGGACGCTTAAATCTCCCAATTAGTACACCATTAAGAATAAAAAGTACACCATTTAGAATTAAAACAAATCAAATATAAATACCGTAGGAAACATTAAATGTTTCAGGAAAGGGAAGCGAAATTTCAAGCCATATGTCATAAACATGATGGAACGAAAACAGAGTTATCACTTATTAGATAGATATTGAAAAAATTATATTGAAAAATATATACCATATTTTTCATTCCATGTATCAATTCCGAGTAGGATCAGCGAGATTACCGAATCTAAATGACCGGGAAAAACATTCCCCAATTTTCTGTCAATCATGGATGCACCCCTATATCATCTCGTCAATATACCATACTCAGGGGGTGGGGGGGGGGGTGATTAACTAACAGCTAAAATTAATTCCAAATAGGATAAATTTGCTCTTAGGCTCAATATCACTCCTAAGAGCAATATCACTTTTTAGGAACTGAGTCACTAAGGTATTTAGGATTTTGTTTAATGCTAGCATTAAATCGCTGTAAGGCTAAGAGCGATCCGGATCGCTATTTAGCATTGCCTTTTTCTGTGTTCTCAACTGAGTATAACAGCTCCAAAACTGCTCAAGATTGATCGACTGTACTATGCGCGCAATAAAGTCTAGCAGCGCCAGTTCTCGATCGCTCAAATTTGTACAATAATTTAGGAATTTGCCAAGAACAAGGAATAGGGAGTGGTGAGGGTAGTTGTTG